AATCTTTATATGTTATTGGTGCTTGAAAAGTCTTTCCTAGTCAAAATCCTATCCGAGAATCTTAAAAAGTATTTGGAAAGTATCTCCTAATGTGTGATTAACAAAAGCTAGAAGAGAAAAGAGAAATATGAGCTGTCTAATACAAAACAACTTATATGAAACATGTTTTTTACTATAATGAATCTTAATTTACTAAAATTATAATAGTTTTAAAAAACTTATACATTGTTTTATTGAAACGTAACTCTGTAGTGATGATGAACTCACATTTATTAAACGGGTGATATAGGCTTTTGAACATCAAAGTTAAAAAAGCCGACATGAAAAGAAAAAGTTGAAAATGAAAAATAAACTTGGTGATGAAAGTATTGTTGTAAACTGTGAAGTTACAATCTTGTCAAGGAAGCCATCAATGCTGATTGGCTTTTCGTGAAAAGCATTTTCTTACTTAGCAACAATATTTTCTTATGAAATTCTTGCCAAGGGGCGTTCTTGATTGTTGTTAACACATTTAGTTATTTTACAAACACTTGGGCTTTATTTGAAACTACTTTTTCATAAATACTTATTTAGCTATTTTAGAAACACTTTAGCTCTCTCTTTTTCATAAATGCTTATTCTCAAAGACTATGGTTAGAAATAAACACATTAATCAATACTTAAATAATAAATCAATCATCAACAACCACTTCATGTAATTTATAAAATTTGGCTTACAAAGTTGATCTTGCATTGCTCATAGAAAAAATATATTTATAATAAGGTGAAGTACCGATTTAATTCCTGAATTATTTTTTTCGATAAAAGAAGTACCGGAATTTATTAAAAATCGCTAATTCCATCCCTACTATCATATTCAAAGCTATTTCATCCAATTTTTCATTAACTTAAATCACTTGACACATTTTAGAGCATAATACCTTTTTTTTCTCGCCTATAAACCTTTAACATTTCACATAGATTGCGAATCTAATGTCTAATCTATCCTCCAAAGTTAACTATATACATTATTCTTTATGGAAAATTACCAATCTATCCTCAAATGTTATCACATACAAGTAACGTGACTTAAATTAACGAAAAATTGAATATAGTAGCTTCAAATATAATATTAGGGATATAATTGATAGATTTTTAGAATTCAAGGATTGATTTTTTCTGAAAAAAATTAATTTAGAGACCTAATTTTCGTTCAGATGATAATTCAGAAACTAAATTGGCAGTTTACCTTTTATAATATTGTCATGAAGAATGCATAATTGAAAATTTTGGATTTGAGATGAAAATCTAGAACCTTGAGGGACCATTTTTTTTTTTTTTTCGTTTTTTGCAGGAAACAAGAGGGTCACTGAAGGGGTTAAAAATCATTATCTTGGGGATGTTAAGGAGCGCTCACGTAAACTTAATATTCGGAGACGCACATATCGAGTACGAAAACTAAATCATTTAAAGTATTTAAATATTCTTTCGTTAAAAGGCAGGGATGATTGTAATTTCGGCCTTCGTGAAAAAGACCGAACTCAAATTCTTTGGTTTTGTTTTTGTCGAACAAATTGTTTGGTTGTGGAATCGATGATGGCTGCCAAGGAACCTTTCTTTATCCCAATCAATTGTCTCCCAATTCCCAAAACATATGTTATTCCATTCATAGAACTTATTACTTGTTCCCAAATCCCAAATATTATTTGGATTCTTTCAAGTAACCAACAACGCGACAAAGATCAAAGTGTCTCCATCACCATAAATCCTTTATATGTTATATACTAAGACTTTTTATCACAGATGGTTATGTATGTTAACAATTTATCAATTTATCATTTATCTGTCGGGATCCATATTAATATCGTTCTTGCCGTTTAATCTGTCAAAATTTTGTTAGTGTGTTAATGTGGCATACGTATGAAATCCCCAAAGCCAATGACATGATTTCATATGAATTAATGACCGACCCAATTGATAGAAGACTAAATTGATGAGCTTAAAATATGAATGATCATCATATGGATGACATGTTAAAACATAAAGAACCAATTGTTATAAAAATCTTGTATGTTATTGGTGCTTGAAAAGTATTTCCTAGTCAAAATTTTATCGGGTGAAACTTTTGAACATACGATATTATTTACACTAAGGGGAGGGAGTGGACTTAGCCTTACAATATGCTAGCAATAATGTGGTTCAAACTCACATTTGGCGAGAATCGAACCTAAGACCTCTTATTTACAAGTGAAGAAGAATACCACTAGATCGCAGTACTAAGTGGCTTATTGGGAGAAACTTAAAGTGTGATTACTATTGACGACGCTTTAGCTTTTATGTGGAAATCATATTCTTATTCAGGAATGTTTTTACTCACTGCCTTCTTACTCAGTGTGCTTTGTTAGTTTTCTATTAACACATTCAGCTATTCTATAAGGGATAGTACTTTGGTACTCACTATGCTCATTTTGATTTGTACAATCGTCTTTTAACGCATCTTTTCTTGTTTTGAAAAAAACTGGACATCTTATTAATTTTTGTTGGACTTTAAAAAACAAAGAATGTATGACAATTTTTATTAGGTTAAATCAGAAAGTGAGTACATAAGTATTATCTTTTTAGAAACACTTGAAAATTACTTGAGACTGTTTTTTCACAAATACTTATTCTCATAAACTATACTTAGAAATGAGATTAAGCTTCAGTTGAATTGTTTTTTATTTTCTTTCTAAATGCTCGCACTTATAATTACTTTCACTAAAAACATGTTGAAATGTTTATTAAGAATTTTCATGAAAATAAACATTTGACAAATGTTTATCTAAAAAACACTTCTATGGCTCGAAAAAAAATCTCAAGTGTTTCTTAAAAAGGTAATTACAAGATGCAAAATATAATATGAAACCTCGTTTAAAAACCTTTTTAAATGTCTTAAAGCTCTTTTATAAAATTAATTTTGAATTGCATAAAGCACTTAACGTGCTTTTCATATTTCATTTGAATTTATAGTTTAAAAAAAATTCATCAAAATTACTTGCAGAAATAAAATCATTTTCAAACGAACAACTTTGTTTTCTTCAATTCCAAAATAAAAAAGAAAAAAAAAAGGGGAAATTTTATTGGAACCTATTCAACCTGTTCCTACACCCAATATAAAAAAATATTTTCTTAAAATTCCTAATTCACCCTTTGATTAAAACTGAAAAAAAAAAAAAATAAACAAAACTGAAGTCTCTTTCCACACCCAGTGGTTCTCTTCCACCTCAAACCCCATGAAAGATTCACCGGCGATTCTCATGGCAACTTCAATTCAATTTATTTTAGCGTCACAACCACCTTATATGGCACACCATTTAGTTTCCACAAGTTTTGACTTCGAACTGTCTATACAAGATAAATGATCCCTCTTCGGCTTAACTCCTTCCTCGTCCACGACTTCACCATCCCTTCTCGGCCATAGACATTTGTGGTTATCCGCATTGTTGGCTCTGTACCACTCAGAAACTTGTAACTAGAGAGGAAGTTCTACACCAGGGTTTTCTCAATCTGCTTATCCTCTGCATTATCAAGCACTGTGCTTCGGCTTCTTGCTCTTGATCTTCACGTCTTTGACTGTTTGAATGAGTTGCGGCAAACGTAGAGCAGAAGCACCACACTCATCGACGTACGACTTTTGGTCTTCATTTGTATGGACTCGACGATGTATGCCAAACGCCCTGACATGGAAGTTGCAGAAATGAGCTCCTTCTTAGCCAAGGATTACTATGACACACCACTTGTGCAAGTTTCAATCGAAGAAGCGGTCCTAGGCATGTTTTCCGGCGAAGGGAGGGGCGGCTGCCACTCCTCGTCTTCACGTAGCTTTGACTATGCTTGTAGGCCTCTGATGCCGGCGTTATGATTGAAGAGTGTGAGAAATAAAGGAGGGAGTGGGACAAATGAGGAGGGAGATAATACGAAAGAAGAGGTGGTTAAGAGACGTCGGCGCACCGGCACCAGCGAAGAAGATGCCGAAAAGTGGTGGGCATATATGTGGGTTCATGTTCTTTTAATTTATTTTTACTTTATAATTATTGTCGGGGCAAAATGGAGAATTTAATGGCAACAATATTTAAGTTGGGTTTAAAGATAAGATAGTTGAGTTTAAATAAAATTTCCCAAAAAAATGAGAAAAATATGGAGGTAGATTCTCTGCCCTCCCACTTTCCGTACCCTACTGTTTTGTATGGTCACGGTTAAACCATGTTAACATTTTATATTATTATTTTTTATAGAGATAATAAGATAAAAATAAATAATAATATAAAATGTTGATATGACTTAACCGTGATCACACAAATATGAAGGAACGAAAGTGAGAGGACAGATAATCTGCCTTCGAAAAAAATTGGTTTTGCCAGAGGACAGTGACCTACTGTCAGTGACAGTCAGTCAGTCAGAGTCCTTTCCTTACCTTTATAATTTCAAGTGGAAAGTATCTCCATTAAAATCTGGTCCGATTCCAACAGGATCCTCCTCCTTGTCCTCTTCCGTTTTTTTATTTACGAGGTTAGAGCATTTATAAAAATACGTCAAATTTAAAATATTAAATTTAAATTTGATGGCTCACTTAATAATTTAAGATATTATCAATATTTTATATGTTAAAAATTATTTATTTATTTATATTTAAAAAAAATAAATATAATAAAATAATATTTAAATATACTAGCATTTAAGATAAGACAAGTGGAATGTTTTTAAAAATAGTAAAAATCAAATTTGAAAGCAGCTTCAAATTTGATATTTCTTTGTCTATGTTAGCTTTAGCCATGTTTTTCATATCATCTTTGATATTTCGATAGGAATAAATGATACGTCATTTGTTATAGTTATATGTCTATGTGATATTTTTAACATTTTCTTTGCAAAATGATTTTAATCTTATAATAAACTAATAATAATATAGTTAAAATTCGTCTTTGATAAAAATTAAAATTTCATTCACAATTAAAAAGAATACCAGTAACCCATAGTAAAGGGCACGTCAAGACTTTGTCCTCAATTCAACGTCCACAAAATCAATCAAAAGCCCAAAGCAGCATTAGTGCCGTAGTATTTGCTTGCTCCAATTATTAGTGACGAAATCTTCATCTCCCACCAAAAAGAAGCAAGCTTGACAAACTCAATGGATCACCACCATCATCAGAACAACTGCAAAGTCAGTAACACAGAGTTCGCGGATGTTGATTTCGATGACCCCATCTTCTCAACTCCCATTCTTTCATCTCTCAACTTACCCCAACGCACCACCACCGCCAGCGCCACAGTTGCGCTGCCCGACGCCGACTGCCCACAACCGCAACTGCACGTGCCGCTGCCGCCGAAGGTGCAGCAAAAACTGAACACCATATGCGAGGAAAAAGAGCAGCCGCAGCCTGACGCCGAGTTGAGAAGGAAGCTGGGTTTGCTGGGCGAGGAGAAGGCACTCGAACTCCTCGGTGAAATTTACAACACGAAAACAAAGATCAGAACCCTTAGTGGATACATCGGGTTCATGCTCGGCCAAGAAAAATACCAATGTGCACCTCATTCTCCTTCTCCTTCTCCTTCCCTTTCCCCTTCTAAGTCTGCCCCCGCTGCTTCTTGTCTTCTTCACAGCCCGTCTTCTGCTTCCTCCATCACTCCTGGTCGTCAAGGTCAGATTTTTACTTCATGGGTTGTTTTGTTTTGATTAACTAGTGATGGGTTTTCTTTGCTGATTATTTTCGAAACCGATCTCTGATCTTTTTGTCGAAGAATGCAAGAATCCCACGTCGGAAAATTGTCAATTGATAAAAGGAATTACAATATATAAGAATGGCTTCTAATAACGCTGATGTCTTTTATGATACACCCCTCGTTTGTTATAGAAAATAAATGCAAGTTAGGACAATATCGGTGTGATTATCAGTGAACTGTTATCATTAGTAGTGGACTGTTACGATAAGTAATTGACCGTCTCTTTGAAATAATGACACTCTCTATGTGATTTGCAGGGAATACTAGTGAAGGACAGAGGGAACTGTATTCCTGTTTGTCAACAACTCCATCCAAATCTGCTCGAACTTCTCTTTTCCAAGTCCCATCATCTGCTCCGCATAATACATCTGCTCATCAAGGTCGGATTTTACTTCAAATTCTTTCATGGTTGTTTCATTTCTGATTGATCAACGTCGTTGCTTTTCTTTTAAATAAATAATTGTTTGTGAACCCATTTTTGGTTCTATACAGAGCACCTTGGGGACCGTGGAGGAGGGGAGAGGCCACTTTATTCCTCCTATCACTCGCATTCTCCTTCAAAAGCTGCCAGTACTTCTCTTTTTCAAGCCCCCTCTTCTGCTGCTCCTTCCACGTCTCTCACTCCGGATCGACCTTTTCAAGGTCACACATTTTTCACTTTCTCGGTTTCAGGCTTTGCATTCATGGTGATCAACTGTTTTTTGTTTTTTTTGTGATAACTGATAACTATATATTTTTTAGCCGTTTTTGTTATTGCTGGCCCAAACAATAGAGAACCCACGTATCTGTTAGAGTCTTGAGTGTGTGTTGGTGCAGGTGAGGCTCTCACTAATCGGTCCGCGGACCAACCCGGACACGATGGGCGGGCACAATTGGAAGCTCTAGGCGAGCTTGAATTCAGGAAACAGTTTCTAATATTAAATTACGCCGGAGGGTATGCGAAAGTTAGACTCTGCCTTATTTGGTTCTACTTGTGCATTTCCACTCTATTAAACCGTGTACTTACTTGCTTTTGTGCATCTTTGTTTGTGTACGTATTTTTTTTCAGAGAGAAGTTAGAAAATGTTATAGCGCCAGAAACTATTAGGAGTTGGAAAGGTATGCCGATGCAGCAGTTTGAGAACACAGTTTGGGACGTTTTAGGTAGCAAATATACTCGAAAGGAAGACCGACAATGGATGAGTATCACTCTCAAGGCTGGTTTATCTTTAAATTAGTGAATTACCATAATCTTTGCTGGTTCGTTTTCACTCTTGGCCTACTTGTTTTTCAAATTCCTGTAAAGAAAATTGGAATTTTAACTCTGCTCACTGCCACTGGCATCCCAAAATTTTCACTGCCACTGCCACTGGCTTCTTTAGTACTGGCATCAGCCAACCTTATATCCATTATTTTTAGTATATATGCCTAATGCCCTAATGCCCCTTTCATGTTTTCGGTGGGATGTAGACTTTGGATTGGGATTCTCGACAAGCATACGTCTACCATTGTGAAGTCGCTGTGGATGGGAGCTACAAATTCAAGGTTTTTACTCCTACCCCCAGTATATGTGTGATCGCCCACAAACATGTGTCTCCATGCTTGCACATGTATAATTGTATGTCCACAAGGAGAAAGTTGATAGGTTACTTAAAGAACCTGTAGTATAGGTAATCATAGTGTAAGATCCAATAACGAAATGTGGTACCGGTACACGATACCAATAATCTACGCCTGTGGGTACTGAAGGAATCAGGTCTTCTGGTTAGGGCTTGTATTTCAAGTTCGAATCTTACCCATCTATAAGTAATTGAAAATTTTAACATCTTAGATTGGATTTCATGTGTGATCATTTGGTAGCAACTTATTTCTGCAATAAACCGGAGGAAACTTTCTTGTCATAACAGCTTAGAGTTCCGGTGATTTTGTTTCATTTCTTCAAGGATAAAGCTCCCACTGAAAATGGGTAATCAGCTGTTTGTAGTTCCTTTCTGGAAAATGCGTTTGCTTTTTATTGCTTGTTTTGATTTAGACATGGGAAACCTAGTATGTATACTATCAATTAACCAATTTCCACTGGATCCTATTGATTCAATTTAATCTAATGGCAGTACTTTTATGTTTCCGTTGGCAATGGTGACCACTTACTTTGCTGACGCTGAATAAGTGATACACTGTTATTTTCTTCAGGGCCCCTATCAACACACCACAAAAAGAACTCTCTTACAGAAAATTTTAGGAGATGACAGCACTTTAATGGTGAAATTTGCTGATGCGGTGAATGACAAAGATCCCTGGAAGAAAATGGGCCTTTATGTTAATTATAGCAAGGTCGCAAGAGAAGGGATTCTTGTTGGTTTGCGCCGATATTGTTTCTTTGGTATGCCTTTAATACCTTCTTATGGTAAATTTTGAATTCACAATTTTGAAGATGTTTTTACTTCCTTAACCACTTATTTCTTTCGTGCACTTTTCCTGATTGGGCTCATAAGTGTAGTTGCCTTAAATACAATTGTGAGCTTATTGCAACGCTTGAGTCGTCGTACCCAGTGCACAAGGCTCCCGCTTTACGCAGGGTCTGGGAGAGGTGAATGTCGGCTAGCCTTACCCCCATTTATGGAGAGGCTGCTCCCAAATTGCAATGCTTGAGTAAAAAAAAAAAAAAAACGTTTGTTAAATCATCATAGTTGATTTACGTCCCATGGTTTAGACTTAGGATGAGAATGATCCCATGGTTTAGACTTAGGATTTATGTCCAGAAACTGCTTTTTATGTTATTTAGACCCCTTCTTCCTGGTGAAGTTTTAATATGCATTCGTTTTATTCAGTGTGTTGAGAATTCTAGTACAATTGATCGTTGTTTGTCTTTCGTAATATGGTTATGAATCAGTGTTCTAATAGAACAGCTCATAAAGCAAGATGCATTTTCATGCATCCACATACCGTGTCTAGTGTGAGCAACTATATGATTAGGTAGGTCATTGTTTATAACATAAGAAGTTTATTTTCAAATGTTGTATAGAAGCATTTTTCCTTCAGTTTCTAAACGATCATCTTTCTTGGGATTCAGGTTTTCACTCATTTTGTCGAAGACAGAGAGCTTAAATAAGAATTTGCTAGAGCCTACGTCGAAGGCACATTTGTTGGGGTTCAACCTCATTCGATACCTCTTCAGAATGGTGAAAGTTTCAGATAGGTTGGTGATGTGTTGGTCAGCATGTTTGCTCTTGACTAACATATCATCAACGTAAACTTCCATGTTCTTCCCAATCTGTTTAGTGAACATTGAATTGACCAGTTTCTGATAAGTCGCTTCTGCATTCTTTAGGCCAAAGGGCATGACTTTATAGCAATATAGTCCCATGTCAGTAGTGAATGCTGTGTGTTCTTAGTCAGGAGGGTTCATGAGGATTTGGTTGTATCTTGAGTAAGTATCCATGAAGCTCAAGAGTTCACACTCTGCCGTAGAGTCTATAAGTCTGTCTATGAGAGGAAGAGGAAAGGTATCATTCAGGCATCATTTGTTTAGGTAGGTGTAATCAACACACATTCTCCACAAGACCTTTTGGAGCATGAGACTTTTCTTGGTCGGATTCTTCTTAACAATGACAACATTTACTACCCACGTTGGATAATTGACTTCACGGATGAAGCCTATGCCTTTGAGTTTTTCAACTTCTGCCTTCATTGCCTCGTATCGTTCATCGTAATAAGATTTTCGCTTCTGTCTCACTAGCTTGGTCTTGGGGTCAATACTTAAGTGATGACAGATGATATCAGGATAGATGTCTGGCATGTCCTCGTATGACCAAGCAAAGACCTTAGTGTTCTCTTGCAAAAAAGAGATCAATGCCAACTGAATGGGTGGTGACAAGGTGGTGCCAATCTTCACCATGCGATCCGGATAATCTTTTGAGATAGAGACATTCTCCAACTCTTCAGCGGGTTGTGCTTACTGGGTGAAAGAGTCATCTCGAGGATTGTCGGGTTGACTGTTGCCACCATGAAGATCCAAATTGGCTTCGTCTGGGCTGGTCTTAATGACTTAGTCATGTATAGAAAGGGTTTCCTTGCACATACATGTGTTTTTGCTTGACCGAAGTGTTGTAACATGATCGTGCACTAAGTTGATCTCCTCTGATGTAACCATTGCCATAAGGGGTTGGAAATTTCATCAACAACATATGTGTGGATACCATGGACTTGAGATCATTGATGCCTGTGCATCCAAATATGACATTGTATGTTGTTGGGCAATCAACCACCAGGAAGTTAGTGGTAATGGAATCTGTGTAAGGGCCTGTACCAATGGTAAAAGGTAAGTGTATGCTCCCCAAAGGTTGCACGATATCACCGGAGAAGCTTATTAGAGGAGAAATTGAGCGATCGAGCAAGTGTTCAGCTACATTAAGTACCCTGAAAGCTTCAACAAACATGATATTGACCGAAGCCCCTTGTCTACCATGATTCGTCGTACTTCAAAATTGGCTATGTGAGCTTCCATGATCAGTGGGTCGTTGTGAGGGTAGATGATACCTCTTTCTTCCTCAAGGTAGAAACATATTGGATCCCAGTTAGGCTTTTGATACTTGCCTCCCCTAATGTCTTCCACGTGAAACACTTGGTGGCCAGACCTTAAAGCTTGTTCATTATTTTTCATGGCCTTATTGGAAGATTTAGATATAGGTGTGCCACCACTTATGGAATTTATCACGTTCACCTAGTGTTGGTTACGGTTACCCCTTGGAGGGTGAAAGAGGAATTGATCAATTTTCCTTCATGTGCCAAAGCTTCAATATGATCACGAAAGGTGATACACTTATCACCGTCATGGCCGTTATGCTCGTGGTAGCAGCAAAACGTGCCCCTGTTTTTCGTGGGCTTGTAATCTGGGTGCCTCGGCTTTGGCTTCGGTAGCAGATGTGCTATGTTGGGGTAAATGGCCACATATGTGGCATTCAAAGGTGTGTATGCCTCATACCTCGAGGTAAGGCCTATCTTGACATGTGCTTGACCCACTGTGTTGACTGCCTGGGGTCAGGGATTATCGTGGCAATACCCTTGGTTATAGTGGTAATGTCCCTTACTCCTTTTACTAAAATGAGACTGGTGAGGATGGAAATCTTTCCCTTTACCTTGAGATTGATATGTCTGTTGACTTGGCAAAGTATTAAGTAAGGCAGGGGAAGGCACCGCTGCAGTGTTTGGAAGGTTGAGGTCTTCTTATTTGGGTGGGTCTGGCTTCCACCCCCCCACTTGCTGATAGGGGATGGTTGTTGGGGGTTTCTCTTGGTATGTCATTGCCTCGGCGGAGGCATGATTATAAGCCTACGCCATCACCTCAGAGTAAGTCTTCCAAGTGTTGGCATTGATCATGTACTTAAAGAAACAGTCACGTAGGTCTGCCGTGAAAGCTTTGAGGGCAGTCTTGTCATCTACCTCGGCACAATGGGAATATTCATGGCTGAAGCGGCTAGCATACATACGTAATGACTCGTCTGACTTCTGGCGAATAGTGTACAAGTCATCCGCAGAGTGCAAGCGATCGGTCTGGAAAATGTGTTGAGAAACAAACAGTTTCCTCAATTCCTCAAATGAGTCTACCGTCTCAGGTGGAAGATGGCAATACCAGTTTAGAGCTCCACCAGAGATGGTGGAGAGGAAGAGAAGACATCGCTCTTCGTCGGTGTGCATCTGGTATGCCATGGTGAACTCAAAGAGGTTAAGATGTTCAATCAGGTCCTCATTTACAGTATAGAATTGCAAGCGAAGCTTCTGTTTTGTCTTTGCTTGGAAGGGGTGTCGAGGATCCTCCTTGTAAGAGGGTCAGGCCTAGGTTGGTTCCAATCAGGTATCTCAGCTTGTCGTTCGGCCTTCAACTTGTTTACTTCCTTAAGGAGCTGTAGGACAAGAGGGTCCTGAGTAGAGTCATGTACCACTAGAGCTTTCTTTCGTAAATCTCCATCTCTACTTGGAAGTATGAAGGTTTGATCAAGAGCATGTGATTTTTCCCTGGACTCGCCGTACTGACTTCCAAGGTATGTCTGTCGAAACATCTCTGAGTCCCCTATACCTTCGTGTTTCTCTAGGACTTTTTGCCCCTTCCCCAAATTGGTAGCCGGCCTGGGACATAGGAGGGGATCGAGTCTTTCAGAGACCCTTGGGTCATTGATCTTTGAGCTTACATGGATGAGATTATCTCGACGTTGCTTTAGGAAGTCTTGACAGTTGCGAAAGACGGTTTTCGATCCTTTCACTCATTATGTAAGGAGGTGTATTCCTCCACTCCTTCTGCTTTGGGTCGAAGCAGCTGGGTTGAGAGAAGTCTTATGTTGGTCGCCATTTCGATGAGTAGCTCGCTCCTCAACAGGAATACCCATGTCGAGTGCAAATGACCCTCCGTGTTGGGGGGCACCCAATTAATGGTTGACTTCCACAAGGGTGATGAGCTCGTGTGTTTTAGTATATCTAGCATCATGGAACATCTCAAAGACCTTCTCATACTGCTTTTGGAAGATCTTATTCTTTATCGCTATTTTGTTGTTTTGAGCCTCCAACTCATCGACTTTAGCTTGAAGAGCAAACTTCTTTTGTTCCTTCTTTCATTGCTTCGCACCAGGTGCAAGAGGGGTGTCATTCTGTGTGTTATGACTTCTTTTGCTCCTCATGTTGGAAATGGATGCATGATCAAAAGAAAGTGTACATATGGTGGAAACCAGCTTAACAAAGCTGAAGAGAGTGGGAATAAGTTTCGTTCCCACAGACGGCGCCAAATGTTGATGCAGTGAGGACTTTGGTACAACAGAAAATGTCAAGTTTGTGACCTTCGCTAGATTGCTCCGATCACTAGTATGGATAAATATGTAAATGGATAAAGATAGCGAAGCAAACACAATATGTACGTGATTCACCCAGATTTGCTACGTCCACGGAGTAGATGAGCTCTCATTAATTGTGAAGGGTTTACACAAGTACATAGTTCAAGCTCTCCGTTAATGAGTACTAGTGAATGATTTAGTACAAATGACATTAGGAAATATTGTGGGAGAATAATCTCATTTTATAGAAGAGAGTTTCTAGCTTTGTTTTGACATTGACACGTGTCGTGTTGTGATTGGCTTCCGATGTTGACATGTGCCGCGCTATGATTTGCTTTCGATGTTGACATGTGTCGCGCTGTGATTGGTCTCCTGGTTGGAGGGAAACTCTTCTAGATCCTTGACGGTATAACGTTGACCGGTGCTCGGTAGTTTCGAGATTGGTCAAGTATGATACAAACAAAATGTAATATGCGTGAATTGAAAAAATGAAAGTCAAATATTTGAAGTAAATGAATAATCTTAGATCATATTAGAAAAAACTCCTAATCATGATGGAAGGACCATTGCTACAATTGGGTTAAAATTGAGGGACCAGTGTTCAAATTGGGTTAAAGTTGAAAACCATTTCTTTAGGTGGGTTAAAGTTGAGAAACCATTACTACAATTTTTTCATTTGGTTTTCCATATGTGCCACTTTGATTCAGCGTCGCGTGCGTTCTTTGATAGAATTTTGACTAGGAAAGACTTTCCAAGCAGTAATGACATATAAAGATTTTATCAATAATAATATTTATGCTTTTAAGCCTTTAACGAGATGCCAGTTTAGCTTTCTATGTTTCAAACACATCAATTTCATCTCTGGTTTATTGGGTGAGTCATCAATTTCGTCCTCACAGTTTGTTCTATTAAAAGTTCCTTTGGTGGCTTGATGTAGCACACCTATGATGCCTATAAAAACCTATCACATTGCACCCATGTATAATATAAAAATTAGTATTTAAAATTTAGAACCCGTATTGAAAAAGGAAAAGCAAAGCTAAATTTAAAAGCCTAATAAAAGTGAGCCATCATGGATTCAACTAAGAAAAAAATTTGTTTGACAAAAAAAAAACGAAAAAAATTGTTTGACATAAAAAAACAAAAGAATTTGAGTTTGTTTTCGGTGAATTTTTGTTCTAGAGAAGTTGCAGAAGAGTCTATTGGACTTATTAGTTGATTCAGTTTTTCAACTCAATCATGTGCTACATCGTTGGTCATTTCCACCAAAGGCGAAATTACAATTTACATCTGCCTTTTAACGAAGATTATTTAATGTGATGGTTGTTCTATTAAAACATATTTTATTACCAAAAATCATATCCCTAGTATTTATATATCTTTGTGTGTTGAGAATATTGTAGCAATGGTCCATCGATTTTAATCTAATTATAGTAATGGCCACTCAACTAAAATCTTGACTATTGGTCCCTTAACTCATAAAAAGTGCAACCATAACCCTTTTCGTCAACTCCGCTAGAACCTTCGTCAAAATAAGTCATTTAGGTACTTGGAAAGTATCTCCTAGTGTGTGATTAGCAAAAGCTAGAAGAAAAAAGAGAAACATGAGCGGTCTAATATAAAAAAAAACTTAAATGAAACGAGTTGTTTACTATATAGTATCTTAATTTATCATAATAATAATAATTTAAAAAAAACTGATATGTATGATTGTTTTATTGAAACATAACTCTGTAATGATGGTGAACTCACATTTATTGAACGGGTGATTAGGCTTTTGAACATCAAAGCTAAAAAAGCCGACATGAAACGAAAGAGTTGAAAATGAAAGATAAACTTGGTGAGGAATGTATTGTAAACAATAAAGCTACAATCTTGTCAAGAAAGCCATCAGTGCTGATTGGCTTTTCGTGAAAAGCATTTTCTTACTCAGCAACAACATTAGTTTCTTATTTAATTCTTGTCAAGGGGCGTTCTTGATTGTTATAACACATTTAGCTATTCTACAAACAATTGGGCTTTATTTGAAACTGCTTTTTTATATATAAAGATTGTTGTTTTCTTGGGCTGCTGCAACTTAACGGTGTATTCAACCATGGATTCTGCTTCTGTGAAAACGTTCCTGCTCGATGTTAGAGCTTCTGCGAATTCGTTGTTGTCGCAGTACGAGCCTCTGGTTCTGGTTTTTGCTGCTCTCTTTGCTCTCCTTGTCTCTTCCGCGCTTCAATGGACTATCAATGGCCTGCAGGAGAAGGGACTCAAAGCCACACTCCTAGGGTTATTCATGAGCTCCATCAAGTGAGTGACCCTCTGCACAGTAACACTCAGTTCCGCTATTATTTGTTAAATTTGGATATAATCTATAATTGTATTTGTTGGGTTTTGTTTATTTTTGTAAACTGCAGGTTGGTTCCTGGCGTCAAGAGTTACATCGAAGCTGAGAAGCAAAAGGTCTGTTTTTTATATATAAACATTTCACCTTTATTTCAATTTCAATTTTTTTGTTTTAAATTTTGATTTCTGGCACCTGTTGATTGGTTTCTGCTGCCAATTGATTCATTTTCTTGGGAGAATGAATATTAGTGCCACACAGAACTTTGCATTTTGTTGTCCCTTGGAAGATGAACATGCAATGCAGTTCGTTCGGAGGCTGTTGATGTGCAATCAATAGCTCAGTTGTGATTTATTTTTAAGGAACTTTAATGAAAAGATTATGTTACCGTTTACTTTAATAAAAATTATATTTTTACATTAAAAAGTTAATTATGGTATTATTCATTTTACCTTTTATTTTGTCTTTATGCTTAAAACTTAAAATTTTTAAGCGTTTTTCATTAATTTTCCTTTACTTTTGTCTCAAGGGTTTTATTGTATTAACTGTCTGAACTGGTCCCCCTCCCTTTAGTTCTTAATTGCAAAGAATTGAATTTTAAAGGGGGATTATCTTTAGTAAGGTCATCTCCAACCGAAGGAGGGTCATATGACTCGTTTTAGTCCTATAGTCATTCAAAAAATTAATATTTTAATGATCAGTGTCATACCATATTTCTTACCATCTTCAATCGAAGGGCCAGAGTGCCATAAGCCAAACAAAGCCCTGTGACAAAAAATATCTTCAACCAAACGGACCAAAAGACCATAGGGCCAAATATAATTTATTATTTTAATTGAATTAATATGGTTACTTAAATTAAACTACTTTAATCATTTTTCGAGATTGAATGTCAATAATTTCTTGTCGATAAGGAATCTCAATAATGTTACGTTTCAAAGATCGAGTGCCACATGTCGATCTGTGAGTAACTTTGCAGATTTCTTGTCGATAAGGAATCTCAATAATTTTACATTTCGTATTTCGATTTGTTTTTTGATATTGTTTAATATTACTTAATGTTATTTAATGTTTAATGGCTTAAGTAGTTATAGGAAAAAAAAATATAATTTTTAAATTAAAAAAAAAATTTGGAAAAAAAAATTCAAATATAACGGCTAACTAGCATCAACAACTAACCTTTGGGATTCAAACCTTTGGACCGGGCGGGGCTGACTGGTTTGGGCCGGCCGGGCCGGCTGGTGCCCGATTCTCCTTTTGTGGCCCGGTGGGGCCCATGAATTCTTTGACCTAACCTTCTATTGGAAACAATGTGCCATTTAGGACTATTTTCAACCTTATGGTCATCTTGTCTTGGAGATTTTCAAATTTCGTCCCTGCCGTCAACAAGTGACAAAATCTCTTGGTTCCCAATAAAAAATGGGACTTTAATGAAAATCTTCCGGTACTGTTTATTTTAATGAAAAATCATATTTTTACACTAAAAAGTCAATCCTGGTACTATTCACTTTACCATTTATTTTATCCTTATCGATAAAACTCAAAATTTTCAAACGATTTTAATTAGTTTTCTAATAAAAAAAGCTGCACCCTTTCAGTCAGAAACTAGACGACTGATTGCACGATCACCCTATGTATATTGATACAGATGGCCATGGCGGATTCCACCGTCTCAATAAAAAACCCATCTTTCTCTCCTCCTCCGTCATATATGGCCGCCGCCGGCGGTCTAAATTTGCAACCGCAACCATACATTTTCCTGCCGCAGTCGGTGGAGCAGCTGCTGCGTCGAATTTGCGAAGAAAAAAAGCGTCCCTGGCCAGAAGACGACGTTTTGCGGAGGCTGAGTTTTCTGACGGAGAAGCAGGCGCTCGAGCTCCTCCGTCAGATCGCCCGCGCCAAAGAAGTTAAGACTCTCAACGGCTACATCATCTGGCTCTGTCAGACCCAGTATTCCTCCTCCTCTCCTTCGCAATCTTCCCTTGCTTCTCAATTCCAAGGTTTCAGACTGATTGATGCTGTTGATTGTGACCATTGGTTTGGCTGACTGAATGTCTGAGAGTGTGTTGACTTGGGGGTGCAGGTGTGACTCTCAATCATCGCTGCTCCTCAGCTGTTGAGCAACCTGTGGCTATAGGCAATGCAGAAGCAGAGCTGGAAGCTTTGGGAGAACTTGAATTCAGAAAACAGTTTCTGATTCTAAATTACTCTGGAGGGTATGTCAAAGTTTGTTCTCTCTCTCTCTCTCTCTCTCTCTCTCTCTCTCTATCTGTTTGCTTATTAGGGTTTATCTCTCTGTTTGTTTACCGGGTCTCTCTGTCTAGTTGCATATTAGGGTTTCTCTCTCTCTCTCTCTCTCTGTATTTGCTTATTGGGTTTTGTAGCTCACCTGCTTTTGGGTGTCTTCATGTTTGTTTGGTTCCTTTAGAATGCAGTTGGGAAGTGTTATACCGGCGGAGACTATTAGGAGTTGGAAAGATCTGCCAATGCATATATTTGAGACCAGAGTTTGGGAAGCTTTGGGTCGCAATTATATTGGCAAGGAAGATCGGCGTTTGGTGATTATGATCATTCTCTCTCTCCTCTGTGATTCTTGGTCTTGTGTGAATTAATGTTTTACCATAATCTTCGCTTAACTCTTGTCCTTTTTCGCTTTTTTCGGTGTATTGCAGACTTTTGAATGGGATTCTGGAAAAACACACCTCTATCATTGTTATGTTTCTTTGGATGGGAGTTGCAAATTCAAGGTTCTGTACATTCAACACCCACCCCTCCCCCGGCAGAAGTATATTTATAATCAGAAACATGAGTTTGCACACACACACAAAGGCAAAAGTTTAACAATGTGGTATATATCAGTAATTACTATGGGTGTTTCAAGTACTACTGATTAGTTTTCAAATTTCTAGATCATTGGTTAGGTGATTGGGTGGATTTTAGTTGACAACTTAAAATGTAGCGTTTGATATATCTTCATGCTCTGAAAATGGACATCCTTTTTACTTGTGTTGATCTTAATGGCTCAGCAATGGGCACTAAATGTTATCCTATCACGTACCAATATATGCATTCAAAATTTTTAATGGTATTCATGTTGCCATTGCCCATGTTGTCATTTGGCAGACGTTGCATTTGTGATATGTTGTCATTTCCCTTGACTGTTTTTTTCCAGGGTCCATTTCTAAACAAAGAAAGAACTCTCCTACAGAAAGTTTTAGGAGACGACAATGTTTTAATGATGAAATTTGCTGATGAGGGGAATGGGACAGGTCCCTCAAATTCTTACAATAATAAGTATGTTACATATCGCAAGGTTGCAAGAGAAGGGATTCTTGTAGGGTTGCGACGATTTTGTTTCTTTGGTACGCCTCTAATGCCTTCGTATAAGGGATTTTTGAGATATTTCTCTTGGGTACTTTTCTTGATTGAGTTCACAAGTCTAAGTACTTAATATGAATTATATGCTTAACATAACGCATGTTAACAATCTTAAGATGTATTGATGATCCTTTTCTCTATATTCTCCTTCTGTAAACACTAACATAGGATGATATGCGTCTCCATGCTTTTTTACTGATTGTGTATGAGGAACCCTTGTTCTTGAATTCTTTTTCATTCTTCTCATGGTTTAGTTTTTGGGTACTATCGGTAAATCAACAAATTTTATCATAGACCATTTTTTCCTGGTGAATCTAAACCTGTATTTTCATACTTCAATATGTTGAGGAACCTAACAGCATTGGTTTTTTCTTTGTCTATCTGCATACGGTTATGACTCAGTGTTCAAAGATGGTGGTAAAGAGGAAAAGAAAAAAAACCCAACTTCATCACCCGTGAAGTGTTATTTTGTCCGTATGGACTCTGATGCTTCAATTGACAGGGATGTATGGTATATGTTAACTAACAAACAATTTATGAAGCAAGATCTCTTTTCATGCATGCGCATACTGTGTCTAGTGTGCCCACCTACATGGCTAGGTATGCAAATTTTTTTTAGCACAACCAAATTTGATTCTTCTTTTCTTCTTTTCTTCTTTTTGTTTGGTCAGACAAACAATTTCTATTCAATTAGTATATAGTGACAAGAATTATGCAGACATTATTCTTGTCATATTGAAGCATTGTTTACTTTATGAATTTTAAATTGCATCCTTGTTTCAAGTGCAGGTTTTCGCTCATTCTGTCAAAGACAATCAGATTTCCAGTAGATCTGTCAGCTGTGAATGTTGAGTTTGTTGATGAGGAATATTGTAGGGTATGATTCTTAAACTATTTTTCCAATGAATTATATTGATGAGGAATATTGTTGGTTCATTTTTCAATTTAAAAACCCAGTTTTTCATTTCTTCTTGTTTCTGTGAACTGCAGGATGAATCTGGTAACCTTATTTACAGAGATGACAAACCACTTATACATACAGATGGCACTGGATTTATATCTGAGGATTTGGCTTTACTTTGTCCGAAGAACATATCCAATGGAAAACGGATCAGTAATCAAAAAATCGAGGTTTGTCATTTTATATTTCAAAGTTAGAAATAGAAGTCAAGTAGAAATGCAGCCTTCTCGTCCATCCATATATCGCCCTATGCAAGAAGAGTTTGTTACACAGCTTAGAACTTCGTATGTTAAGCTAATATGTAGAATTGAGTAATCTTATTCCCCATAATTTTATTTTCAGTATTTTCTAGTCTGAAAGTGCAAAAGTCTTCTACTCTTTTCATGGCTTATCCTTTGACTTGTGATATCAGAGACTTCCGAATCATAATGAACTTGATGGCAACGGTCTGGAAAAGAAACAGCCAGGTTCTAGAATCGGGGAACCGGTATGTAGATGTAGAGTATTGCAATTGCTTTTCTCTTTTCAAGATTCTGATAAACTTACATATTTGGTCGGCAATATATTCTCATTTCCTTTTGCTCTTATCTTCCCTCCTTGCAGCCTTTGCTCATACAGTTCCGACTGTTTTACAAAGGCTGTGCTGTCAAGGGAACATTTCTTGTCAACAAAATGGTATGGTTTCTATCATTTTCTTATGGAATAGAAAACATGATGCTGTTAGCTTTATGAAAAAACACCTCACTGTTAATTGAATTATCTCAATTGGGACATTTTGTTGTATTGTTCAAGTCGAGGTCACACACCAGTCTAACGTCGTTGATTAAATTATTTGTTTCATTTTCGAAGTAAATTGATGTAAAACAATATAATAAGAAGTTTATGCCTAGTAGTTATGCAAATTTTTTGGAATAGTTATATGTGCTAATTTGGTTGTTTTCTCTTCATTCTCTTAGTTTTACCATATTGTACGCCATTTTCAATTTTCTATATTAAACCTTGTAGCTGCCACCGAAAACAGTCCAGATTCGACCTCAAATGGTTAAAGTTCAGATAGATCCAGAACTTTCAGATAATGAAACAGTGAATGCATTAGAGATAGTTGGAACAAGGTAAATCCTTCAACTAACACTAATATTTGCATAATTTGTGTTCCTGTTGCTGAGCAACTGGTGTCAACACACATTAAAATTTAAGGGCTCCTGTTTTAATGTTCAAGCCGTCAAAGTTCACAGAAAAAGGAAAATGGGGGGGGGGGGGGCATTAATGTGTCTAACACTACTATTGGTTAATTAACATCTTAACTTCAGTTTTTATCTTCCAGTATTCCACCTGGGAAGTCATATTTATCGAGGAATTTAATTGCGCTTCTATTCCATGGAGGGGTGCCAAAAGAATATTTCTTGGAAATACTTGAGAGAGCTTTGGAAGATGCTCATAGTGTTTTCTGCAATGCGCGTACCGCACTCAAAGGTGTTAAGTTTTACCATGACCTTGTTATCTGCCTTTGGGATAAATAACAAACTAGAATCCTATTTCTTTTGTGGATCAAATAGCATTCTAGTTCCTTGATTCCCCCATTCATTTTTTTATTTGCAGTTGCCGTTAACAATGGTGAGATTGATGACAATTCCAATACGGCAAGAATGATCCTATGCGGTATTCCCTTAGACGAATCATATTTGCAATATCGTCTATCGATATTAATAAAAGAGGAAATGAAAGGTCTTAGAAGAGGGAAACTGTATGTTCCCGATTGCTATTACTTGATGGGGACAGCTGATCCAACCGGGATTCTAGAGAAAGACGAAGTTTGCATTATCCTGTATGTATTATTTCTGGCCCATTTTCCTCCCCGGTTATGTCAAATCATGCAAGAATTTGATAGCATACTTGAAATTGATATCTCTAGCAATGGTGTAACATTGAAATGTATTGTCTATGATTTCCGTAACTGTATAATTTCTGTAAATTTGTTACTTATACATGTTTCCTTTCTTGATTATCTATCCTATGTTAGTTTTGTTCATCTATGTAGAGTTTTGAGTCGCTGAATATAGTTCACTTATACTTTGGATGGAATTTTTTTGGCCTAATGAAACGATATATGCAGTGACAGCGGACAAATTTCGGGCAAGGTATTAGTGTATCGGAATCCAGGTTTGCACTTCGGGGATATTCATGTTTTGAAGGCCACTTATGTGAAGGAGTTAGAAGATGTTGTTGGAAATGCCAAGTATGCTATATTTTTCTCTCGCAAAGGTCCGCGTTCTGTAGCTGATGAAATAAGTGGTGGAGATTTTGATGGTGATCTCTACTGGGTTTCAAGAAACCCTCAGGTTGGTTGTTGCATAAAGTTCTGTTTCTACTTTCTACCCAGTTGTGTTTTGGTTTGTAACACTTTGTGACCGGAAATTCGGAATTACTTCCAGCTACTGGAGTATTTCAAACCCAGTGAACCTTGGGTTCCGGCTTCTTCAGCTCCTAAAGCTGCCAGTGTCAAACCAGCTAAGCTTTCGAAAGAAGACCTAGAAGAGCAGCTCATAAATCTGTTTTTGACAACTAGATTTAAACCAAGGTAGGCATTTGACTTTGTTTTGTAGCAATTGAATTGTATTACATTTAGTCCTGGTTGATTTTATGGACGGTGAATCTCACCTTGTTGTCGGAGTAATTAAGCAAGCATTCTCTAGCGATACATTACAACTCTTTCAATTATAGTTCACAGAAGAATTTCTTCTGTCTCAGTTATGCAATGAGTGAGGCAGCTGATAGCTGGCTGGCTATGATGGATCGCTACTTGACCCGAGGAGATAGTAGCATTGATGAGAACTTGGTGAAGAACATACTGCGTTTGGTTGATATATACTATGATGCGCTAGATGCGCCAAAGAAGGGTGGAAAGGTTAGTTTTATTTTTTGTTGCTTCACTTGTGTCTCCAGTGCTTTGTCATACAAAGAAATTCTGGCTCATTTGCGCAATCCCTAATCTCCCAACTTTCATCCTTTCAAGTGACTGGCTTTGCCTTGAAATTTGGTTTTTTACTTGTGAGCGACAGGTCGAAGTTCCCAAAGACTTGAAGGTGTCGAAGTTTCCTCATTACATGGAAAAGAAAAATTCATACCGTTCAACTTCGATTTTAGGATCGATTTATGACAGGGTGAACGAGTACCAACCAGACGACCTCTCAACCAAAGGTGATAAAAGTATTCTAATATTTGCGACCCGTGAGAAAATAATAGTTTTAACTTACTCTACCTCTTTACCTCTCTTCAGAAGTTAAGAAACTTCCCATTTTCGACATTGAAGTCCCTGAGGAGTGCTTGATCAAATGGAGGGAACAATACAAACAGTACAGGCGTGACATGACCTCGGCATTGCGAGATGATGATCGAGAGGGGAAGAATCAGGCTGCCGGGGAGGTCATAACAAAGTATAGAGAGGTGAGATTGTAGATACATGTTCGTAATTGAATATGAACAAACAATTTGGGACAACTAGTAACATATTCGGATTTCTGACTGTAGATTCTGTACGGTGGTGATGATTTCGACAAGAGCACAAGGCCGATGGGTGAAATATTTGACGAGGCGATCGCGATATATAATATCTGTTACGACTATGCCAGGAGTGCAGGTGTAAGTAAATGCGTGTTTGCATGGAAAGTTGCAGGGTCAGCTCTCATCAAACTTCACTTGATCAAACAAGGTGATGCATGCCCTTTTCTGGTGTCACCCGCTGTCTTGAAGGATATTCTGTAACTAAGAAATGGATCTTGTAATCTAGCTAGCCTTTAATGACTGTTTATGGTCAAGAAATGTTGTATATATAAATCCATGGTTCCCAACCATGGATTCCTAACTAGTTTGGAATCATAAGCTCAAATGTTGAGAATAAAATCTACCGTAAAGAGAAGATACTAGCAACTTTCTCACTTGTTTATTTTTTATTTACTTTTTGAATCATTTGTTTTATCTTATAATTTGCATTATAATCGGAATAATCTATTTCTAGATCACTTTTTAAAATCAACTAAATTTGAAATCGTTTAATCAATAAACTTGGATGCAATCATGTAAGGGGGTCAACTCCACAATCCTAAATAACTTGCTTAAAAATCATCTGCATTCTGCACTCTATTAAACATTAAACACTCGCGTTTGAACCCTAATTGGAATATGATAGATAAGGACCCTGGTAAGTGTATGTCCAGAGGACGCCTGTGCAAGAACGTGATCGGAACTATCTCCACCAGATGTCATGCTTCAATCCAAACGTGCCCTAATCTGGAAAACCCACCTCAGTTTCCTGCGAACCACGTGGAAAAGAAAACTCACTGGACAAACACTGCATATCTGTCATGGCCGGCCCTATCTTAAACAAACGGATAATATTAGGAAGATTAAAATTTTAAATTAAATGATATGTTATCGATAAGAAATAAGTATGTTAATCAATATTTAAATAATAATTTAATGATCAATCACCACCTTATTTGGTTTACAAATTTGATAACATTTTTAATCTCCTTAATATTACCTAAACAAACACGCAACTCAAAATTCAAATGATGAAATTAAATAGTTCAATATAAAAAAATCTTATCAAATGATATGAAAGTTTGACTCGTTATCCAGTTAGTAAGAATATATAAAAAGTAATACTTCTATTGATTACTGAAATTTTAATCCCGGCAACTTGAAAGCGTGATATGTTAATAATTGTGTTAGTTGGTGGTAGTGAGTGGTGTCTCAAGATACGTGGTTGTGTGATGGAATCACATTGCAAGAAAGTAAATTAAGTAGAAGAATACAAAGGAAGAAACAGAAAATAGAATAATGTGTAATGATGTATTATTCTTTTAAGTTTTAAATGGTTAAGCAAAGGGTGGTTTATGAGAATGCCAACTACTACATGTAAGAATTAAGTTGCCTGAATTTAAATCCATTTTAATTGGTGAAATTAAAATTTTCGACAAACTGTTGAAGACCTTAATCATAATGTACTTGTATGTATAATAAAAAAATGATGAAAGTTACAAAAAGAAATGGTATGCATACATACAAAAGTAACTTAATTGTGATTCGCATCCAAGAAAATAAAAGAGGGGAAATAATTTTCTTTTAGGTTTCTATTAGTTGAGAAATGTTAGTAATTTTCTCATTTGAACTTTCTTGTTTCATCTTCTCAGTACTTATCCTCATCTTGCTATTTTGCATGATATCCGAGTTGCTTAATTTTTAGATTACTCTTTAATGATCAATTTTTCAAAAGAGATGTTTTGATATAGACGTCTCGTTTTTAAATGTCATTAACTAAACACATATTTCTTTTGCAAATTTGATTAAACATTTTCCTTACAATTTTGGTGTTTAATTTTATTTCACTAGAAGTCTATTCACGTTAATTAGCATTCCCTTTTTTTCTCCTATTTTTATGCATCTCTTATTATGATGATTTAAGATTGTTTTATTTTTATTAAAATATTTATTTTAGTAAATTAAATAGAATGTAACAAAACTCGTTATTAGGTACGTTTGGTTATAGTAGTACGTTTGATTATAATGATACATTTGGTTACTTGGTACATTTGAATTTTTGGTCCATTTGGCTTTTTGGTACATTTGAATTTTTGGTACATTTGGTTTCTTGGTACATTACAATTTTTGATACATGTTTGCACCATACTTGACCAATCCCGAAACTACCAAGCACCGGTCAACATAATACCTTCAAGGACCCACTGAGGGGTTCATACTGAGGCACCTCTGCTGAAGCACAAGAGTTTCTCTCCAACCAGGAGGCCAATCACAGTATGACATATGTCAACGTCAGAATAAAGCTCATAGAGTCTCACATCGACCGCGGACAAAAACTGGAAACTCTCCTCAACTATAAAAGAAGATCATTCTCCTACAATTAATTCCTAATGTCATTATTGTACTTAAACTAGTCATTAGAACTCACTAATGATGATTATGCTTGAACCTATGTATTTGTGTAAACCCTTCACTATTAATGAGAACTCTTCTACTTCGTGGACGTAGCCAAATTTAGGGTGAACCACATACATCTTGTGTTTGCTTCCCTATCTCTATCTCTTTACATACTTATCCTCACTAATGATCGGAGCAACCGAGCGAAGGTCACAAACTTGACACTTTACGTTGTGTCAAAGTTTTCACCGATTTTATGCATCAACAATACATTTAATTTTTAGTACATTTGAATTTTTGGTACGTTTGTTTTCAAAACATAAGTTTTATTATTTTTTTCCTAATAATGAGGAATCACTTTAATTAATTTTTTTTTTATACAAAAAGTCGTTAACAATGTAAAAGTTTAAATTACTTTAATTAATTATTTTTTTTATAGAAAGAATCATTAAAACGTAGGAGTTTAAAGGACCAGGAAAATAAAATTTCCTATATTGTAGGCAATTAGTTACAAGGTGAAGTGAAGATGCCTTTAAACAAATTATATGTAATTTAAAAAATGTGGCAATTGGTCAAAGCCTCTTAATCAAATCTTAGAAAGGAACCAATGTTTGATCTAAAATGTATTGAAAAAAAGTAAGGGGTTCTAATTTCTCCTTTTCAAAAGGAACCAGATTCGAAATCATTTCGGCATCTAACTATTATACAATAATCATGCCATATTATTCAGTTAAAAATTGAAAGATTAAGAGCGTTAATCGAGCTGTTAAATACATTTTATTTGTAGAATTAGTCTCTAACAATTAATTAGAAATAATAGTACGATAATATAATTTAAAAGGAGAACCGAAAAAAAGATAAAACGAAGAGAAAATAGTAAGGAGAATTTTATTTGTACTCATATAACATCTTTCTACACTTGACTTACTTTTTGCATCCATTTGATTTTTAACTAAAATATCAACATTCTTTAACCCCAAATTTATTGCTTAAAATACCCTCACAAATCCAATTCAATATGAAAATTTATCTTTACTACCATATGATTTTTTGCACTATTATTATAGAAATTATGGCTTTAATTTGTAATGTATTTCATAAGTTTAATGTACAATGGTTCAGGTATATATAAGGATGGAGGAAGAAAGAAAGAAAGAAGAAAGAAGAAAGAAAGGTGAAATGGCTACTACAAGCAGCCGACAAAGACAAAGAAAAAAGCAAAGCTAACTAGCCTAGTCTAAAGCCTTACAACAACAACTTTCATCAATCAATCATCTCCCTTAAATCAAGGAAAAGAAAGTAGCCTAGTCTAAGCCTTACAACAACAATTTTCACCAATCAATCATCTCCCTTAAATCAAGGAAAAGACTAACCCTAGAGAACATGGTAGCTGACTCTAGAGGCCAAAATATACTCAACACTTTCAACAATTATAATGACATTAAATTGTATTGGAGCGTTCATCCTCAAGTCCCAAAGCTTAATTTTCTTCTCTTTCCCATATTTCACCATGAGATGCTATTATGGCAGAATGCGATTGCAGAGACGAGTTCCCTGTGACACAGAAGTCTAAGTAGAGGACCAGAGTTTGTAGGCTTCCACATGAAAACTATACCAAGTGATTGACCCAAAGCAACAACCCCATTATAGGGGTTCACCTGTTAGCGATTAAGAAGGAAAAATGCAGATTTCTCAGACAAGAAGAAGAACCAAAACAAGCAATTTCGAGCAAGAAAATTTAGAGAGAGTTACTCTGCAACTTCTTCATCTATTTCTAAGAGTGAGCTTACAAAACATGAGAGCACGCATACCAACAAAATAACCGTTGGTAAAGAGAGAGAGAGAGAGAGAGAGAGATCCTCAATTCAATCGCAACCATCCATTTACATTGCTTAGATTACGACACTTGTCCACTATCAAGTCTTATGAGACTTAACTAGCACATTACAATTTGATCACTCAATCTCAGCCTATGAGCTAAGACACAACACTAATCAAACTTGTAAACCTTTTTTTATCAATTCATCAATTTACACATTAACACTTCTCCTAAATTGTGAATTGATCTTACTCCCAATTGCTCTCTGAGATGACAAAACTGTTCCTTGGCCAGTGCCTTTGTGAATATATCTGTTACTTGATCATTGGTTGGACAATACACTAAGTTGATGATTCCATTTTGCAAAGCCTCCTTGATAAAATGATACCTTTGGTTGATGTGCTTAGTTTTCTAGTGAAAGACAGTATTCTTGGTGATTGCAATAGCAGAGGTGCTATCACAATTCAAAGGTGTTGCCACAGTCTGTGTTTCACCAAAATCTTCCAACACAAACCTTAGCCAAGTTGCTTGTGCAGTAGCTTCCGCTGCACTGATGTACTCTGCTTCAGCTGTGGATAATGCAACACAGTGTTGCTTAATTGAGGACCAAGAAAATACCCCACTTTCGAAAGTGAATGCATATCCTGAAGTGCTTCTCATATCATCTTCGGATCCACTCCAGTCACTGTCACAGAATCCAAACAGCATTGCACCTTGACCTTTCTTGTAATCCAAACCATAGTCTAAGGTTCTTTGTATGTACCTCAGCACCATTTTAGCAGTTCCATAGTGCTTATTAGTTGAGTAGTGCATAAACCTTGCTAATAAGCAAGAAGCATACATGATATCTGGCCTAGTTGCAGTAAGATACAACAAACTACTAACATTTTTCCTGAACTGAACCGCATCAACAGCTTCACTATCATCATCTTTTCTCAGTTTTTCTCCTGGAACAAGTGGAGTACTAATAGGTTTACAATCCTGTAATCCAAATTTTTTAAGTAAAGAAGTAGCATACTTCTTTTGATGAATGAAAATGTTGTGTTCAGTTTGCATAACCCCCATTCCAAGGAAGTGGTGCAACAAACCCAAATTTGTCATTTCATACTTATGCATCATATCAGCCTTGAATTTTTCTATCATTTCAATGTTACTACCAGTATAAATGATATCATCAACATAAACTGACACAATAAGTATTCCTTTACCCTTCTCCCTTTTTGTATACAAAGTTGCTTCACTATCACTCTTATTAAAACCACACTCTTCAAAATAAGCATCAATTTCACTGTACCAAGCCCTTGGTGCTTGTTTCAGTCCATACAAAGCTTTGTGCAACTTGTACACCTTGTCTTCTTCTCCTTTTACAATAAACCCATCTGGTTGATCCACATACACCTCTTCTTGGAGTACACCATTCAAGAAAACAGACTTAACATCTAGTTGAAATAGCTGCCAATTGTTCTTTACAGCTAGAGCAATCAATGTTCTTATTGTGTCCAACCTTGCAACAGGAGCAATGTCTCGTTGTAATCCACACCAGGCTTTTGTGCATATCCCTTGGCTACCAACCTTGCTTTGTGTTTCTGTACAGATCCATCTAAGTTCAGCTTTGTCTTGTATATCCATTTTACTCCAATCACTGGCTTGTCAAATGGTTTATCCACCAAGTTCCAGGTCTGATTTTTCTCTATTATATTAATTTCATCTTGCATTGCAGCCTTCCATGCTTCATCTTGTGCAGCCTCATCAAAGCTTTTAGGTTCAACAATGCACATATTGCAGTGTTCATATACCTCACTCAGATTTCTCCATTTCAAAGGTGTTGAATCAAATGCTTTAGTATCCACCGGATGCATTTGTACACTTGCACCCTGAGCTCTTGATCTTTCACAAGAAATATGAGATGATATCCTGGTAGACTCTTCAATTTCACTAACATTTGTTTCTTTAAACTTAGATGGAATTAGAGGAACACAGATTTCCCTCACTTTGTTTTCTTCCCAATCCCACTTCCCATTCTCATCAAACACTACATCTCTAGACACAATCACCTTCATTGTGGTTGGATTTAGAATTCTATATCCCTTCTCACAAGCTCCATATCCAATAAAAACTCCTTTTACACTTGATGCTTCCAGTTTATGTCTCAAATCTCCAGGTATTAAAGAATAGCATACAGCTCCAAATACCTTGAGATGTTTAATCCCTGGTCTTCTTCCACTATAGGCTTCAAATGGTGTGACACAGTTTAATGCACTTGTAGGACACCTATTTAATAAGTAGACTGCAGTGTTGCCTGCCTCTCCCCATAGTTTGTAGGGTAAATCTTTTTCATGCAGCATGCTTTTGACCATTTCCATTATTGTCATGTTCTTCCTTTCTACCACTCCATTTTGCTGTGGAGTATAGGACACAGTGAGTTGTCTTTCCATCCCAATTGATTCACAAAATGCATTAAATTCAGTGGAGGTGAATTCTCCACCTCTATCACTTCTCAATTTCTTCAAAGAGTAACCACATTGCAGTTCAACCATTGCTTTAAACTTCTTAAATATCCCAAATACTTCTAATTTATTCCTCATAAAATAGACCCAACACATTCGTGAATAATCATCAATGAACGTGAGGAAGTATCTATTCCCACTTGTGGTTGGAACCTTCATAGGTCCACATACATGCAAATGTATCAGTTCCAATGGTTCCTGTGCTCTCCATGTGATCTCCTTTGAAAATGGCTCCCTATGATGTTTCCCAAGTACACAACCTTGACATACATCATTACTATCTTGGATTTCAGGCAGCCCCAATACCATTCCTTAACTTTGTAATAGCTTGATGCTCCTGAAATTTAGATGTCCATATCTTTTGTGCCACATCTTTGCATCTCCATGCACATTTGTTCTCAATGCAAGTTCTTTGTTGATGCTAAAAATCAAAGGAAAACATCTATTTCCCTTATGTTTCACACTAACCACCGGATTTCTGAGAGACCTGTCATCAAACAATCCACTTTATTATCTCCAAACAAAAGAAAATAACCATGCTCTGTCATCTGTCCTACACTGAGCAAGTTCTCTGTAATATCAGGTACAAGCATTACTTCTCTTATGTATCTTCTGCCCTTCATTGTTTCAATGATCAGTGTCCATTTCCAGCCACTTTAACCAAGTTTCTAGTGCCTACTTGAACTTTGGCTTTCACATTTCTGTCAATGTCAACAAGCAAATCTTCCCTGGATGTCATATGATTACTACATCCGTTATCTATGTACCATTCATCACTTATCTTCTTCATTTCCCCTGAATGATTAGCATAAAATAGATTTCCAGTTTCCTCTACCTGATTAGCAAAATTCACTTGTTGCACAGCCTTGTTTGTATTGCAGTATCTTGCAATATGACCAATTTTGTTACACTTGTGACACTTGACTTTGTTCTTAACCCAACATTCTCCATAGTGTAATCTATTACAAAATTTACACTTATCTCCAGTGTTATTAGCATCATTCTTCATAGGAAAACTAGCCTTATTTCCCCATTCAACCTTGTTTCCCCACTGTTTCCCTTTTGGCTTAAAATTCTTCCGGTGTTTGCTACTGTTTGGTTGACCATTAAACCTATTTGATTTCGATGTAATATTCAAACTAGCAAATGCTTTCTCCATACTACTTTCCCCATGTCTATCAAGCCGTTGTTCATAACCCTTTAAGATAGTAACAACATCCTGTGCATCTATGGTGTCTAAGTCCTTAGTATTCTCTATCACAGCTACAATACTATCATAAGACTTAGGTAGACTGATTAACAACTTTGAACAATTCTTTGATTACTCAAATCTTCACCATAACTTTTCATTTGATTAATCAGATCAAACAGTTTAGCAATATACACAGAGAGAGAATCATTATCATTCATGCTATTATATTCAAAATCTCGCCTAAGACCTTGAAGTTTCACAGATCTTACTTGCTTATCACCAACAAATTCTTGTTTCAGAATGTCCCACGCAGCCTTTGCACTTTCCTGGGTTGCGATCCTCCGGGAAATCTGATCTGAAACGACACCTTGGATGATTCCGATTGCTCTAGCATCCTTGACCACATTCTCACGCATCAACTTCTTCTCCGTCTTCGTGAGCTCCTCCTCCTTCTTCGTCAGAGTTTCGTACCCATTTTCAACCAGATCCCATAATTCGTGTGAACGGAAAATGGTCTTCATTTCGATTAACCAGAAATCAAAATTCTCGCCATTGAAGACTAGCACTCTGAGTTCTCCTCCTCCAAATCCAACCATGTTAGACTCGATCACAGATATGAGCTCGAATCACTGCAATGAGCTTGTTGCTGTGAATCCGAGCTTAACCTTAACAAACACGATGCCCAGAAATTTAGACCCAACCTGGCTCTGAGGCAATGTTAGCGATTAAGAAGGAAAAATGCATATTTCTCAGACAAGAAAAAGAACCGAAACAAGGAATTTCAAGCAAGAAAATTTAGAAAGAGTTACTCTGCAACTTCTTCATCTATTTCTAAGAGTGAGCTTACAAAACATGAGAGCACGCATACCAACAAAATAACCGTTGGTAAAGAGAGAGAGAGAGAGATCCTCAATTCAATCGCAACCATCCATTTACATTGCTTAGATTACGACACTTGTCCACTATCAAGTCCTATGAGACTTAGCTAGCACATTACAATTTGATTACTCAATCTCAACCTATGAGCTAAGACACAACACTAATCAAACTTGTAAACCTCTTTGATCAATTCATCAATTTACACATTAACATCACCAGCACTGCATCGCATCAGTCCATTAGACATACACGTATTCATCACCTCGAATCACATCCGCAGCTCCTTTTCTGTCTTCTTCAGCCTCATTTTCCCTCCCCTTCCAACTCTCGTACGACTTTGGTGCCAATTGATGTAAATAGAAATTACTAAACCCCCTTTATATGTTGGATGAATACGAGTTCAAACAACGCCGGAGCCTTGAGAAAAATCTGGAAAAAAAAATGCCTAAATATTAAGAATCATAGCCACTAACTTTAACATAGATATTTTGTGTATATACCAGAAATTTAGGAAGAGGGAGGAAGGAAAAGATGGGCAGGGAAGAGATGGCGGTAGCAAGGAAAAAGAATAAAAATATAATATAAAAAGTTTGAAATTTGACCCAAAGAAAATCAAATGGAATCGAAAAGTCCTTGCAATGTTTGTAAGTCCTTTTGGTGTTTTGGGTTGCAGAGAATACCGGGAGAATGTCTGCAACAACTTGCTGTTGAAATGGTTGCAGAAAGTTTAACAAACTATGGAAGATTGATGAAAAAAACCTGAAACCCAAATACTCATCTTTTAAATTTTAAAAAGATAGAAATCAAACAAATAAAAAATTTATAAATCGAGTCATTTCTTAATTAGAGGATTCAAAACTTTAAAATCATCATCCATCAATAAAAAGACTTGCCTTTCGCTATAAGAGCTATTAGGGTTTTAGACGAAATGAGCTTATGGATAAATAAAGAGAGATGGTAGGGTTTAATTATAGTGGGTGGATTTATTGAGAAGTTTGAGTTTTATTATTTATTTTATTTTATACTTAATAGTAATTATACAATCGGGTAAAAATAACAATTAACATTTAAAATTTAAGTAGTATAAAAAGAAATTACATGAATTTAAATAAAATTTTCCAAATAGTAATTTAGAATACTTGCGTGATTGACAGACAGCAATGGACATGTGTATTAAAATCTCATTATCCAAGTGATTCACTCCATATAAAACTCTTTATCCTCTCTACACAGACAAAATCTCATGTCTCTGTCTCCCTCTCACTCCCACCATCTTTCTCTCTCCTCCTATCCTATCCATTCCCTCGATAATTTTTCTCAGTGATGCATTGCCTCAGAAAAAACCCACTCATCCAAATCAATCATATCATTCATCTACTCCACCACCTCCACTAATATATTAAAGAAAGTAGTTTCACACTTTAAACCCCTTCCCCCGTTACTTTTTCCGTTATTTTCTGCCAATAATTCAGGAAAGAGAAAGGGATTGATTAGTTAAATCGAAAACGACCCCTACCCTTTTAATTTTCTTTTTACCATTTGACTTTCCATGTAAAAACAAGCCAAAGTCTTCGATTTGTATATGTGGGAATGTTACAGCGCTCGTAGTTTCTTTTAGTATTAAAACAGAGCACTCCATCTGCCTCTGCTTCTTGTGCTCCTACTTCTGCTTCTCTGATAAGCGCTTTTGAGCTCAAAGGGTCACTGAGAAAGGTTGGTGCTGAATCTGATCTTAAGTTATTACTTGGGCCGTTGAGAATGGCGAGCAAGGTCACGGATTCTACGGTTGAGATCGACCCCAAGTCCACCGTCGGCGGCGGCGTTGAGGATGTCTATGGTGAGGACACTGCCACCGAAGACCAACTTGTCACCCCCTGGACTTACTCCGTTGCCAGGTCATCCTCTTTCGTCAATTTACCTTTTTACCGTCTTGGTTTCGTACTTTCATTTTCTTCTTCATGCTGTTTGTTTATTTTCTTCTTGATTTTCGGGAAATAACCGAGTTACAAATCTCAACGGCGGAAATGATCGCTTTTTAGTATTTGTGAGTTAATGTTTGATCAATATATCATCACGATCACTTTTCATTATTTGATCAGTCTATCGTCAATATTTGATTTTGATCAGTTTAGCAATTGAGATTTGTAAATTAATCATTTTGGCCAACTTCCAAAAATTTTATAGTATTAACCTTAGGAATTCTCAATCGGATCAAGCATCACATTTTGGTTTAAATTAAGAATTTGACTGCAATACTTACATTTTTTTTTTTTTTTTTTTTTGTCGAGGCTGCAGTACTTACATTTATTTTATTAAATTTTTGGTGGGTTTTTGACACAGTGGATATTCTTTGCTGAGAGATCCTCAATACAATAAAGGGCTTGCATTTACAGAGAAAGAGAGGGACGCTCATTACTTGCGTGGCCTTCTGCCTCCAGCAACTGCTTCTCAACAACTCCAGGTTTCAATTTTTTTCTCAACAGCTTTGTTGTTCATTTTTTAACGGCTTAAACTTTTCGAGTATTTTAACATGGTATGGGAGTTTTGGTTTCACGAGGTCCATAACTTTAGTGCATTTCGTAACTAATTTATGCATGGTATAGCAATGCTGAATTTTGATCTAACCGTTGGTTTTTCTTGTTTTACTGCAAATTTGCTAACCAGGAGAGGAAGTTGATGAACACTATCCGACAATATCAAGTCCCGCTGCAAAAATACATGGCGTTAACGGAGCTCCAGGTAGTTTTTCTTTTACCAGTATTGGTTTTGTTTAAGGTTGAATTCGGGTTTACATGTGCAGTTGGACTTGTACTCTGTGACTGATCGGTGTTTCAAACTTTCAAATGTGTTAAATGACAATAGGGGTTTACTGCTTACATTTTGCCTAATCACTTTTTGCTGAAACAAAGATGTAGAGGACCATTCAAGTTTTCTTTGATTAACAGGAGAGGAATGAGAGGCTGTTCTACAAACTGCTCATTGATAATGTCGAGGAATTACTTCCGATTGTCTACACTCCGACTGTTGGTGAGGCTTGCCAGAAATTCGGAAGCATCTTCAGGCGCCCTCAGGGTCTATACATTAGTCTGAAAGAGAAGTATGAACATCTATTTGCACAGTGATTTTCATTTCTCTCAACATAAACTTAACGTGAAAATCCCTTGAACATTATAGGGGTAAAGTTCTAGAGGTATTGAAGAACTGGCCTGAAAGGACTGTTCAGGTTATTGTCGTGACTGATGGTGAACGTATATTGGGACTTGGTGACCTCGGTTGTCAGGTAAGGTGTTGGAAGCATCTTCCCTTTGATTTAAGAACTTTTTTTTTTTTTTAAATAACAATGAAAATGGAAAGTTACCTGCCCTCACATGACCCTGTTGAACTTGTTTTAGGGGATGGGAATTCCCGTAGGGAAGTTGGCTTTGTACACGGCACTTGGAGGAGTTCGCCCCTCAGCAGTGAGCGTTTTCCTATTTACTAATTACCAATCATTGTTTACACTTGAAGTGGTTGCATTGCAAATCATTGATGTCATAGCGTTTTTATTCATTTTAACCAAGAATTACATGGACTTTCTCTGCAGTGTTTGCCTGTGACGATTGATGTTGGGACAAACAATGAGCAGTTGCTGGAGGATGAGTTTTACATCGGACTCAGACAAAAGAGGACAAGGGGAAAGGTTTCCCTTACTCTAGTCTCTTGTTAATTTACGTGCATGATCTAGAATTATACAGCTTAACTTAATGTGAGAGATTTTGATCGTACTTGCAGGAGTATGAGGATCTTTTACAAGAGTTCATGAGTGCCGTCAAGCAGAACTATGGCGAAAAAGTTATTGTACAGGTTACCTCTTATGTTACATCATCTACTCATCAGATTTTTGGGGTATAAATTTTCACGTAGTTCTGAGGTTGTCTAGTCCCTTTATATTGAAATGTGCAGTTTGAAGATTTTGCAAACCACAATGCTTTCGAGCTGCTGTCCAGATATAGAACATCTCATCTCGTCTTCAATGATGACATACAGGTACAAATTAAGTAACTGACGGAGCTTGCACGATAGCCTTTAGGTTAGGTACACCTTGTTTCTTTGCCCTTTGAATCATTGTTTCCTTGTATCAGGGGACGGCATCTGTAGTTCTTGCAGGAGTTGTGGCAGCACTTAAATTGATAGGTGGTTCCATGTCTGAGCACAGGTTTTTGTTCCTTGGTGCCGGCGAAGTAAGACACTGTTAATATATTTGTCAACTTGTATCTTTACTACATCAGATTGGTGGAGAATTAAGAGTAGTCTAGCTCTAAATTATAATTCTCATCCTACTGTTACTTCGTGGTCGTAGGCTGGTACCGGTATAGCAGAGCTAATAGCTCTTGAGATCTCAAAAAAGGTATTTACTTTTTAAAATCATATACATGCGGCATGCCAATTCGGGAGATGGAAAGAACTTCTAGACATGATTGATCAATGGCCTTCTGTTTATCTTTTGTAGACAAAAGTTCCTGTGGAAGAGACCCGTAAGAAGATCTGGCTTGTTGATTCAAAGGTGGGTAGCATGCTCGATCAAGATTCTGACTGTCCGTTATCAAATTTTCTTACTGCCTCTCACATACTTAATGCAGCACACGAATTGTCTTGCAGGGATTGATTGTTAGCTCTCGTAAAGATTCTCTTCAACATTTTAAGCAGCCTTGGGCTCATGAACATGAGCCTGTTAAGGATCTTCTGGATGCTGTCAAGGTTTGAATCAGTCAATCATCTGATATATTTATAGATACATAAATTTGTATAAGTCTCGGTTTTTATCGCACATTCATACTTCATCAGGCAATTAAACCAACTGTTCTTATCGGATCATCTGGTGTTGGAAGAACATTTACAAAGGAAGTGATCGAAGCAGTTTCGTCCTTCAATGAGGTAATCGTCTCCTTTCTCTTACCCCCTTTCCGTGTATATCTTATTGTATATGGGCGTAACAATTTCAGCACCGGTTTTATTGATATCAAGACATGAATGCTGCAGAAACCTCTTATTTTGGCTCTTTCCAACCCAACATCACAATCTGAATGTACCGCTGAAGAAGCTTATACTTACAGTGAGGTATAACAGTTACGTTCACATCTAATCTGTTGTTACTTGATTGAGGATAAATGAAGTAATTTCTCTTTCGTGATTCTTGTCTGGCTTCCATTTCCCAGGGTCGCGCAATTTTTGCCAGCGGAAGTCCATTTGATCCTGTTGAGTACAATGGCAAAGTTTTCATTCCTGGCCAGGTAATGCAAATGTAGCTTGTAGTTTGAAGACCAACTTTAAAAACATTGGTTTGAGTATCAATAACTGAGATGTTTTTGTCGTCCTTCTTAATTCAGTCCAACAATGCATACATTTTTCCTGGATTCGGTCTGGGTTTGGTTATCTCTGGAGCAATCCGTGTTCACGATGACATGCTTCTGGCAGCCTGTAAGTAGATGGCAGATTTTGAACAACTTAATTTTGAGAAAGCATGGAAAGTAGAACTTGTTTCGCATATTCCAACTTTGCGTTTACCATTTGTTCAAATTTTTGGTTCTTCTCCTAAAAATAAAAACAGCGGAAGCTTTGGCGGGGCTAGTTTCTGAGGAGAATTTTGCACAGGGGCTGATTTATCCACCATTGTCAAACATCAGAAAGATTTCTGCCCAAATAGCTGCTAATGTAGCTGCAAAAGCATATGACCTTGGTAAGTATTCTTCTTCTTCTTTTTGTTACTTTGGTGTGATCGGAGTTCAAACTGAAAAAACTGTCATTTCTTCCATGCATCATGCAACTCTTTTTCATCTTATGCTTTTGTAGGGGTGGCTACGCGTCTCCCTCGTCCTGAGAATCTTCTGAAGTATGCCGAGAGTTGCATGTACAGTCCCATCTACCGAAACTACCGCTGAGCAATCCACGGCCCCATCTTTTGTTGTGTGTATGCTTCGCTTCGATGCTAATTATCAAGAATTTGTTTTCTTAAAATGTGTTGTATGAGTGCTTGTGAAATTAGTGAGAGATGATGCTTGTAAATCATCTGTTTCCAAATTCGAATAAATATGCTAATTGTACCTGTTCCTCCATATCAATTGCATTAGCTTACCTTCACATTTTGCTCTTTGATGTCGGTGACGACAGTCACCCGGTCACCCGGGCTACAATTCATACGTTAGTTCCGATAGTTATTCAAATGTGTTTCTTCAAAGAGTGCACTTATGTTGTTAAAACGAGCGATAAAGCAAAGAATCAACATAGAATCTCGATTGCAAGGGCAAATACTCTTGAACCACTTGAATTATAAGCCGCCCTTTGCGAGTGTCAACTGCGCACTCAACGTGACTTTCTAAAAGCAAATGGAATAATATATGTGGCACCAAAGACACAAAGAAGATGGTGGTTTCCTTTTCAATCGTTGGAAAATTAGGGTTCTTACCCCACCATTGTGGGCACTAACATGGCTAGAAGCCAACTAACGACTATAGTGTTGACATTAATCATATGAGGAAGTGGATTCTTCAATTATAACTATGGAAAGAGCATATAAAATGTTAAAGACCCTTGATTAACTTCTTACCGCACTCGGTTTTACCGTGAACCCCCAAATATGCAGCCGTACGACACACACTGTACCGTACGTTTAATTTAGAACGAATTATATGATTAGTACCAGGTCAGTACGGTACAGAATCTGCAACAAAATTGGTTGAAATTGCATTGTGGTTGGGTACCAGATTACAGGGTTATATGAATTTATAAAGTGGTACAGTTGGAATACTAATGTAGCACATTATCAAGTGCAACAATGGTTGAACTATATGGAAACTTACGTTTGCTATCTGAGAGGACGGTGATTCATCTTCATTTGCAGGAGAACGACAAACTTAATTGTTATGTTCCGTGTAGACATTCAGATCAGCGTAAGTATCGTAATAGCGCTGCCTCAGGTAAGTTTGGCACAAGATCGGAGGAAACCTGGAAAAGTAGACAGATACAGGAATGCAGCGAACAGTAAGAATATCATTCTAAATGCTTTATGATTCGAATTTCAAAACCGCCATGCTTTGGCTACATAAATTTTTTCAGTAGCTAAAATACCAATACAATAGTTCCAGCATAATATTTATGTCAGAACTTACTTGGGAGGGTACTTTTCAGATTTGCAGGTAGGCAAGCACTCAACAAGACAATCGTGACTTGGTTCTATAAAGTATGCGATCTGCCAAGGAAGAGAAGCAAATGAGATGTATCGTCCAAAATGCGAAAGTGTATGCTGTAAAGAAAGAAAAATAAAATTGGTATATCGTATATGTGAAAGTTAACAGAACGAATGCCATGTAAAACCCGAGAAAAGAAAACAAAAATCGAGTAATTGAGCCCATGTACAATTCCGGCACAGATAAAATAAGCGAAATTGATGGTTTACATTTGAATCAGATGACTGGACATAATCAACAAGAGAATCTTACACAGCATAAAAACACTGAAAACTGATATAGTCTAGTATGCCATGAAATAGAAAAAGTAAAGAAGAAAAGGAGTCATACAGAGTATCCGTCTTGACCGTTCCCTGCAACTCTATGCAATGTGGACCTGAGCACAAAAACAAAGCAGGAGCATGCGTCACAATAGTTGAATACGAAAATTCTAAAAGAATTGCACAGCTCCAAACTGCCAGCATTCATATTCTATGATCATATAATGAAGACAGAACTAAGGGAGAGGAGCAGTACTTGAAAACACCGTTGCTCCAGCGTTCCAGCATATCACTAAGATTCACCTTAAATGATCTGAAATAATAGACAGAATTACCGCTCAATCAAAAAGGTGTCGTCGCATTATATTTGCTACTATGGACCTGGCATCTACAATTTTTAACCCTTCTAAATCGTGAAATCTTCAAAATATGTTACTAGCAATGAAGCTAACTTGTGCTGGTGTTATAAACAGTATTCAACGGACCATATATCCGCAAGCAAGGATATAACAATAGCATATATGAGTCATCCCAACTTAAGCCACGTTAATGGTATCGATCTCCCTCGGAGAGTACAATGACTAACCCTTTTATTGGTGGTACATATTCCCATATTTGAGGTTTCGCATCCTTATCCTTGCGTATCTGCGAAGAGATATAGGTGGAATAACAGATTAATAATGCAATAGTTATAACTGCCTTCTTAATAATGGTAATATAGCTGAAGTTCATATCATCCTTCTTACTTGGAGACCTACAACTTCATCCGTTGCCAATAGGGTTATAAAACCAAAGTCCGAATGAGCTCCAGCTCCAAAAATTCCATTCGCTGGATCAGAAACTTGACCTATATAACAAATGAACACCATCTTATGAGTTAAAATAGTTGTAGGATTAAATTACAAAACTTTTGATTGAAAATTTACCATCGTAGTGTAGTAACCCTAGTGTTTGTATGGCCTCGCCAAGCATTTCTGACTTGTCGAAGAAATGGATGTCGAGATCAAGAGCAAGGGCCACAAGCCTACCAACTGATTTAGCCACTTCCCTAAAATGATTTACATGAAAACAGTTCAACTCAGCGTATATCATCCACTCTAGAAAAGACTAATCTAGAAGAAATGTGGAAAAGGAGTATTGAAAGTTAAGATGCTAATCAATCATTCATCCTAAAACCTTGTCACTAGAATTCGGACCCTACGATATTCTGCCGAACAGAGTTGCAAACTTGGCAGCAGATATGAGTAAAGAGCGCTATTTAAAATGCCGAGAGGGAAACCAGCGATTTCTGACATGAAACGAACATTGATCACATGCTTATCGACACACATGCACAAGCACTCTGATCCTATAAAACATATGTAGTTCCAAGTACAAGCGCATAACTTACAATCATTGTCTATGATATTCCTCCATGATCTCCGTCCAACCCGGCAACACATCTGCAACGACAACAAAAAGTACAAAATGATCAATAAGAGCACTTCCACTGTGGGCAATAGCCCTATGGATTGGCTCCAAATTAATTCCAACCCCACCCCCACACCCCCCCCCCTCTCCCAAAAACCCCTCCAGCCCACCTCGAGCCAGACCAAAAGGTCAGGTGTAAATCCAAGGCCCGAGTGCGTGATGTGTGATGCAAGGCTAACGCCAATAATGTTATTAAAAAAATTTGCGCTAGGCACGTGGGCAGCGTCACTGACATATTTTCTGGGGTTAAAAGTTGCAACTTTTTGCTCGTCAACGCCAAAGCATGAATCGTTTCGTGTTATACTTCGAGAGTGGTGGGGGTACAAACATAATCTTAAAATCTTAAAAAACAGTTCTGATGATGTTTTTGTTCGGATTTTCTTCCCTAAAAACAAAAAGATAAATCTTAAAATCTACGCCAACCCGCGTAAATATATCCAGGTTTTCAACACACGCTAACCAATTAACCAGTACTGGCTGCTGCCACCCCTGTGTATCTAGTGGAATAACAGATTAATAGTGCAACAGTTATAACCGCCTTCTTAATAATGGTAATATAGCTGAAGTTCACAGCAGCCTTCTTACTAGGAGACCTACAACGTCATCTGTTGCCAATAGGGTTATAAAACCAAAGTCCGAATGAGCTCCAGCTCCAAAAATTCCATTCGCTGGATCAGAAACTTGACCTATATTACAAATGAACACCGTCTTATGAGTTAAAATAGTTGTAGGATTAAATTAAAGTTACAAAACTTTTGATTGACAATTTACCATCGTAGTGTAGTAACCCTAGTGTTCCTATAGCCTCGCCAAGCATTTCTGGTTTGTCGAAGAAATGGATGTCCAACGATATTCTGCTGAACAGAGTTGCATAGTTGACAGCAGGTATGAGTGAAGAGCGGTATTTAAAATGCCAACAGGGAAAACAAAGATTTCTAACATGGAACGAACATTGATCACATGCTTGTCATCACACTTGCACAAGCACTCTGGTCCTATAAAACATATGTAGTTCCAAGTACAAGCGCACAACTTACAAGCATTGTCTATATATTCTAGAGGAAATATGTTGAATACTTCGTTATATTATTCATTCTTTAGGGTTTACAATCATATAGGTACACATACCTTATCCTACAAGGAAAGTAATTACAAAAGATAAAGAAACTAAATCCTAAAGATTATGTATCCTAATCCTACCTAAAATAGGACTCCAATAACATTTACAATTTAGACTCAAATTAACACTCCCCCTCAAGTTGGTGCATAGATATCATACGTGCCCCAGTTGATAATTGAGTCTTGGAAAACCTTACTAGACACTGCATGAGTAAGAATATCAGCCAACTGCTCTCCTAAACTCACAAACGGTATAGACATAATCTTCCTTTCAAGATTTTCCTTGACAAAGTGTCGATCAACCTCTACATGCTTTCTTCGATCATCTTCTACTGGATTATCAGCTATCTCCCTTGCAAATTTATTATCACAACATAGCCTCATTTGGTTCAAAACCAAGGTATCTCAAAAGTTTACATAACCAAAGAAGTTCACTTATTTCGTGTGCCGTACCTCTATACTCAGCTTCCGCAGAAGACCTTGACACCACTTTTTCCTTCTTATTACGCCACGTAACCAAATTATCTCCAACAAACGTAAAATACCCAGATATAGATTGTTTGTCAGTAACATTGCCAGCCCAATTTGCATATGACCCCTCAACCTTTAGATGTCCATGTTTTCCATAAAGTATTCTTTTACCAGGTGTAGACTTCAGATATGCCAAAATTTGCATTACCGCAACCATGTGATCTTCACTGGGTGAGTGCATAAACTGACTTACAACACTCACAGCATATGCAATATCAGGACAAGTATGAAATAAATAAATTAACCTCCCCACAAGTCTTTGATATCTACCTCTATCAACACGAACCTGATCTGGGTAAATACCCAAGTAATGCTTTTCTACCATAGGAGTATCCACATGTTTACACCCTAACGTACTAGTCTTTTTCAACAAATCTAACACATTTTCGCTACGATAAGAAAATACCTTTAGCTGAACGAGCAACCTCAACTCCAAGGAAGTACTTCAATTCTCCCAAATCTTTCATCTCAAATTCAAATGCAAGATTTACCTATAACTTCTGAATTTCTTCGAAATCATGCCCTGTAATAATCATATCATCCACATAAATGATTAAAGCAATCAATTTGCCAAGCCTACCCTTCAGAAACAGAGTGTAATTTGAATGACTCTAGCGATACCCATATTTCTTCATTACTTAAGTAAACCTATCAAACCAAGCACGGGGCAATTGTTTGAGCCCATAAATAGATTTACGCAATCTATACACTCTTGTATTACCACTCGCACCATATCTTGGTGGAAAGACCATATACACTTCCTCTTCTAAGTTCCCATGAAAGAACGCATTCTTCACATCAAACTGTTTAAGAGGCCAACCATATTTACAGCTAAGGAAATCAAAACACGCATTGCATTCATCTTTGCTACTGGAGAAAAGGTTTCTTGGTAATCTACACCACACGTTATCCCTTTAACCACTAACCTTGATTTGTACCTATCCACTGATCCATCAGTCTTGTACTTGATCGTAAACACCCAACGATAGCCAACAGGTTTCTTCCATTTTGGTAACTGCACTACCTCCCAAGTTTTATTCTTTTGCAAAGCTGATATCTCTTCATTCATCGCTTGTGTCCACTTAGAGTCTCGGAGGGCTTCTTCTACCTGAGTTGGAATTTTGATTGATTCCATATGATTTACCAACGCCCTACATTCTGGTGAACAACACTCACATGATACATACTTAGCAATCAGATACTTAACTTTTCCTTCCGGAGAGAACTTGTCAAGTGGCATACCACGATTCTGTTTTGCTGGCAATTTATAAGTATTCACACCAATATCAGGATTAGTTGTATTATCATTTAAAATACTTACCTCTTAGATATTAAAGGGAGTTGGAATGGGCACTAAAGGATCAAAAAGAGGGGGTACTACAGACATACTGGGCACTTCAGTAGATTCCTGCTAAACTAGGTTGTACTGTTTGGTAGAACTCTGCTGAACATCTCTGATTTCTTTGGTTGGGTTATTGGTTCGATTGGAGCCTGTTGAACTGAGTTACATGGTTCGGTATGCTCCGGTTGAACAACTGGGCATATTTCCACAACTTCGGTTTCTCCCACTGAAGTATATTCTAGCCAACTTAAATAACCAATATCATTAATCTCCCCATGGTGATCTAAATTGGATACAGAAGAAGAATAAAAATATTCAAACTCCGAGAAAGTCACATCCATGGTTACAAACATACGTTGACTTGCAGGATGATAACACTTGAATCCCTTCTGATGTAGGGCAAATCCAAGGAACACACAACGGAAAGCACATGGATCAAGCTTACTACGATAAGTTTTCTAATTGTGAACATAAACCACACAACCAAAGATCCGAGGTGACAAAGTATTTGTATAAACCACTGGAACTCCGAGGTGACAAAGTATTTGTATAAACCACTGGAACATGCTAAGTAAGATCTTGAATTGGTGTTCGATAATTCAAGACCCGAGAAGGCATACGTTCATAACATAAACTGCATGTATAACTACTTCAGGCTAGAAATGTTTAGGAGCAAATGCACCAATAAGCAAAGCATAAGCTATCTCCAGAATATGACGATTCTTCCTTTCCGCTACCCTATTTTGTTAGGGGGTATGTAGACCGGTAGTTTCATGAACAATCTCACAATCTTGTAGAAACCGGGATAACTCAAAATTTATGGACTCTCTACTATTGTCAGAACTCAAAACTTTAATATCAGAGGAATACTGAGTTTTAACCATTTGATGAAATAGATGAAACACATCACAAACCTCACTTTTATTTTTCAACACGTACAACAACGTCATATGGGTGCAATTTTCCACGAAAATAACAAACCACTTAGTTCCCGAAGTAGTATTAACAAGGGAATGCCTCCACACATCAGAGTGTACTAGCGCAAAAGAAGAAGACCTTCTATTCATACTTGGAGGGAATGAAGCACGATGACTTTTGGCTAAAATACATGCTTCGCATTTCAATTTTGAGTCTTCAATACCACTGAACAAATCAGGTAACACATGTTTCAAATAATCAAACGATGCATGCTCCAAACGACGATATAATAACAAAACCTTCTGTAGATTACTATTACGCGACGCAAGAACCAAATTAGCTCTTCCAGGAATCACGTCATCCACATAATATAGGCCATCTCTCTTAGTGCCACACCCAATAATCTCCTTTGTTTGAATATCCTCAAGCAAGCAAAATGAAGGATACATTAATACAATACAATCCAATTGTTCAATTACTTGTGGTACAGACAATAAGTGATGGGACAATGACGTAACCAATAAACAATTATGTAACGGAAAAGAGGGTGTAAGACACATTGTTCCCGCTCCAACAACAGGAACAATAGTACCATTGGCAGTTGCCACACACTTTATATGAAGATATGTCATAGATTGAAACAAGATTTTATCATCTGTCATAAGATCTGTTGCACCAGAATATATTAAACTTAATAGATTGGAAAAAAAAAGATATTAGACTTAATAACATTATTAAATCTCTTCTATTAAACTTGACATGGATATATATAAGTTTAAAAAATGGATTAGACATAGGATTTGAATGAATTTTGTTTATACCATATTTAGGGCCTCGTATATTTGGGCCTTGGGCCTTGTATTTGGGCCTCACACTAAAGCCCATACTTTGTAAAAGAGGATGAGCCCCTTATTCTATAAAAGGGGACTCCTCCCCTCATTCTAGGAGAGGCAAAAGAGCCAAGCCTAAGAAGGCTAGGAGAAGCTTCATCTTCAGGAGAGACCTCACACCACCGAGGCTCTCCTCTCCTTTCTCTTTTTTCTCTGGGACTTCCCCAAACACTTGTATCCATACACTTACAGAGAAGCAGAATCAATACAGAGTACAACGTATCCGACGTGATCTGCATGAAAAATGACACAGAGTTATCGTGGTTCACCCCAATTCTACGTCCACTGTAGTTGATATTGTTTCTCTGTATGTGTATGGATACAAGTTGGGGAGTCCCCCGAAGAAAGGAGGGTGGGGGAGAAGGAAGGAGACCTCTGAGGGTGAGAATGAGCCTCCCCTAGAATGAGGGTGGGAGTCCCCTTTTATAGATAGGGCTCCTCCTCTTTTACAAAGTATGGGCTTAGTGTAGGCCCAAATTACAAGGCCCAAGTCCCAGTATACGAGGCCCTAAATATGGATAAACAGTAGTCCCCCAAGTCTTCAGTCAAGAGAGTCTTTGGCTGGAGACTTGAAATTCAGTCATGTGTGGGCCGAAGAACTAAATGTCGTTAGAACTGATTCGATATGAGGCGTGCCCAACTGAAATGATGCTCAACTAGAAGTAGCACATGTTGTGAGGCCCTTTGTTGTGCTATGTGCTTTGTTGGCTCGGCTTGTGGTGTTTGAAGGTGAGGGAGTCCTTTTATGAATAAGGCTCTCTCCTCAATATAAGTGATGGGTTAGATTGATGCGCGGCGAGACATTGTCTCAGGCTTACGACTATGCTCTCATGATGGTGAGGAGTCCTTTTTCTTTTGCTCTTCCTACAATACATAAACATCATGGGTGATCTTCAATGAAAGTGAGGGAAGTCCCTTTTATAAAATAGGGTCGCTCCTATATACATAAATAATGTGCTAGAGTCCCCCAAGTATTTTCATGAGGCCAGTTGAGGCCCAATTATGGTACATATGTAGTCCCCCAGTCTCGGCAATAGATTGTGGCTGGAGACTTCAAATTGAATCCTGAGGGCGAGTGGCGGTTGTTCGTATGCCGATTTGTATACCCTGCACTGAAGCTATTGTAAGTGAAGCTTTGCAAGTGAGCTTTGAGCTAGAGCTCTGTAAATGAAGCTTTAAAGCTAGAGCTTTTGTCAATGAGCTTTTGAATCTAGATCTGGAATGAAGCTTTTTGAAGCTAGAGC